GCTCATGCCTGTAATCCCAGCACTTTGGGAGGCCAAGGTGGGCATATCACGAGGTTGGGAGATCAAGACCATCCTGGCCAACATGGTGAAACCCTGTCTCTACTAAAATACAAAAAATTAGCTGGGCATGATGGCACTCACCTATAGTCCCAGCTACTCAGGAGGCTGAGGCAGGGGGATCCCTTGAACCTGGGAGATGGAGGTTGCAGTGAGCCGAGATTGTGCCATTGCACTCCAGTCTGGCAACAGAGCAAGACTCCATCTAAAAAAAAAAAAAAAAGATCTCAAATCAACAACCTAACTTCAAACTACTAGAAAAAGAACAAACTAAACCCAAAGTAAGCAAAAGGAAGGACATAATTAGAACAGAAATAAACAAAATAGAGACTCTAAAAATAATGTTGAGGGAGAAGTCAATGAAACTAAGCTAACAGCCCTTTCCTAGACTAACTGGTAGAGAAGAGAGAAGAAGCAAATAACAAAAATCAGAAATGAAAGCGGATACATTAAAACTGATGCCACAGGGCAGGCGTGGTGGCTCAGGCCTGTAATCCCAGCTTGGGAAACAAAGCAACACTCTGTCTCTACAAAAACAAACTGATGCCATAGAAGTAAAAAGGATCTTAAGAGTAAGAGAATACTATGAACAATTATGTGCCAACAAATTGGATAACTTCAAAGAAATAGAAAAACTCCTATAAACATACAACCTACTAAGACTGAATCATGAAGAAATTTTAAAAATCTGAACAGAACTATAGTAAGATTGAATCAATAATAATAATAATAACTCCTAAGAAAGGCCCCAGACCTGATGACTTGACTGGAAAACTCTACCAAACATTTATTTTTATTATTTTTATTTTTAATTACTTTTAGACAGAGTCTTGCTCTGTTGCTCAGGCTGGAGTGCAGTGGTGTGATCTTGGCTCACTCCAACCTCCACCTCCCAAGTTCAAGTGATTCTCCTGCCTTGGTCTCCCAAGTATCTGGGATTACATGTGCCTGCCACCATGCCTGGCTAATTTTTGTATTTTTCTAAGAGATGGGGTTTCACCATTTTGGCCAGGGTGGTTTCAAACTCGTGACCTCAGGTGAACCGCTTGCATTGGCCTCCCAAAGTGCTGGGCAGACATGAGCTGCCACACCCAGCCCTACCAAACATTTAAAGAAGAATGAATACCAATTGTTTTCAAACTCTTTCAAAAAAACGGAAGATGAAGGAACACTTCTGAACTCATTTTATGAGGCCAGCATTACCCTGATAGCAAAACCAGACAAAAATAATATAAGAGAACTACAGACCACTATCTGTGATGAATACGGATGCAAAATTCCTCAAAATACTACCAAACTGAGTCCAATAGCCTATATTAAAAGATTTATATGGTGGGTACGATGGTTCATGCCTGTTGAATCCAGCACTTTGTGAGGGCAAGGTGGGAGAATCACTTGAGCCCAGGAGTTTGACACCAGCCTGGGCAACAACATGGTGAGATTCTTTCTCTACAAAAATTTTTTTAAATTAGCTAGGCATGGTAGGGTACACCTGTACCCCCTTCCAGCTACTTGGGAGGTTGAGGTGGGTGAATTGCTTGATCCTAGGAGGTCAAGGCTGCAGCGAGCTGTGATTGTGCCACCACACTCCAGTCTGGGTGACCAAGTGAGACCCTGTCCCAGAAAAAAAGAGAAAAGATTATACACCATGACCAAGTGGGATTTATTTTTGGAGTGCAACAATGATTCAACATGTAGAATCAATATAAGATATTACATTAACAAAACGGCCAGGCACAGTGGCTCATACCTGTAATCCCAGCACTTTGGGAGGCCAAGGCAGGTGGATCACGAGGTCAGGAGATAGAGACAATCCTGGCCAACATGGTGAAACCCAGTCTCTACTAAAAAATACAAAAGTTAGCTGAGCATGGTGGCGCACACCTGTAATCCCAGCTAACTCGGGAACCTGAGGCAGGAGGATCGCTTGAACCAGGGTGTTGGAGGTTGCAGTGAGCAGAGATCGCACTACTGCACTCCAGCCTGATAACAGAGTGAGACTCTGTCTGAAAAAAAAAAAAAAGTGAAGGACAGAAATCACATGATCATTTAAACTGATGCAGAAAAAGTGTTTGACAAAATTCAGTACCTTTTCATGATGAGAACACTCAGCAAACTAGGAATAGTAGGAAATTACCCCAACATAAGAAAAGCTATATATGAAAGGCCCCACAGGTAACATCATACTCAATGGTACAGAACTAAAGGCTTTTCCTCAAGATCAGAAACAAGGTAAAGATGTGTACTCTTACCACTTCTATTTAACATAGTATTGGAAATCCTAGTCAGAGCAATTAGGCAAGAAAAAGAAATAAAAGACATTCACATTGGAAAGCAAGAAATAAAATAGTCTCTGTATGCAGATGACGTATTTTTCATTTTTTGAGACAAAGTCTTGCTCTGTCACCCAGGCTGGAATGCAGTGGCATGAGCATAGCCCACCATAACCTTGAACTTCTGGGTTCATGACTCTCCTGCCTCAGCTTCCCGAGTAGCCGGGACTACAGATGCACACCACTGTGGCTAGCTAACTTTTAATGTTTTCATAGAGACAGTGTCCTGCCATTTTGCCCAGATTGATCTCTAACTCCTGCCTTCAAGCAGTCCTCCCACCATGGCTTCCCAAAGTGCTAGTATTGCAGGCATGACCCATTGAGCCCATGCTGATGTGATCTTATATGTAGAAAACCCTAAAGAGTTCATTAAGAAAAAACTGTTAGAAATAGTAAACAAATTTAGCAAAGTTGCAGGATACAAAATGAACATATGATAATTAGTTGTATTTCTGTACACTAATGAACAATCTGAAAAGGAATTTACCAGAATCACACTTGTAATAGCCTCCAATAGAATAAAATACTTAGTAATAAACTTAACAAGGGGATGAAATATTTGTACACTGAAAACGACAAAACATTGCCAAAAGAAACTAAGGGGCCGGGCATGGCGGCTCACGCCTATAATCCTAGCATTTTGGGAGGCTGAGGTGGGTGGATCACCTGAGGTCAGGAGTTCAAGACGGTGAAACCCCATCTTTAAAAAAAAAAAAAAGAAATAAGGAAGACACAAATAAATGGAGAGACATCCCATGTTATGGATTGGAAGACTTGGTTTTAAAATGTCCATACTACCTAAAGCAGTCTACAGATTCAATACAATCCTTATCAAAATCCCAGTGGCGTTTTTCATGAAAATAGAAAATCCAAAAATTCATATGGATGAAGCTTGAGGACATTATGCTAAGTGAAATTAGCCATTTACAAAAAGATAATACTGCATAATTCTACTTATATGAGGTAGCTACAGTAGTGAAACAGAAAGTAGAATGGTCGTTTCCAGGGGCTGAAAGTCAAAGGGTGGTTTCCAGGGAAGAGAGAAAAATGTATAGAATTTGAGGTTGGGTGTGGTGGTTCATGCCTGTGATCCCAGCACTTTGGGAGGCTGAGGTGGGTGGTTCACTTGAGAGAGCACTTTGGTCAACATGGGGAAACCTCATCTCTACTAAAAATACAAAAATTAGCCGGGCATGGGGTGTGGTGAGATGCTGTAATTCCAGCTACTCAGTAGCCTGAGGCAGAGAATTGCTTGAATGTGGGAGGTGAAGGTTACAGTGAGCTGAGATTGTGCCACTGCACTCCAGCTAGGGAATTGGAGGGAGACTCTGTCTTAAAAAAAAAAAAAAGTGTATAGAGTTCCAGTTTTGCAAGGTGGAAAGGTTCTAAAGATCTGTTGTACAGCAATGTACATATATATATATGTATGTAAATTATATATATGTATATAAATTTTATACATACATATATATATATATATATATATTTTTTTTTTTTTGAGATGGGGTCTTGCTCTGTTACCCAGGCTGGAGCTCGGCTCACTGCAACCTTCACCTCCTGGGTTCAAGAGATTCTCCTGCCTCAGCCTCCCGAGTAGCAGAAACTACAGATGGACACTACCATGCTGGGCTAATTTTTATATTTTTAGTAGAGATGGGGTTTCACCATGTTGGCCAGGCTAGTCTTGAACTTCTGACCTCAAATGATCCACCTGCCTTGGCCTCCCAAAGTGCTGGGATTACAGGCTTCAACCACCATGCCTAGCTACAATGTGCATATAATTAACACAACTGTACTGTACACTTTAAAAATGGTTATGATGGTAAAGTTTAGGGGTGTGTGTGTGTGTGTGTGTGTGTGTGTGTTTTCCTGAGACAGAGTCTTGCTCTGTCACTCAGGCTAGGGTGCAGTGGCAGGAGCACAGCTCACTGCAGCCTCAAACTGGGCTCAAGCAATTCTCCCACCTCAGCCTCCTAGGTAGCTGGGACTACAGGTGTGTGCCACCACGCCCCACTAATTTTCGTATTTTTTGTAGAGATGAGGTTTTACCATGTTGCCCAGACTGGTTCAAACTCCTCAGCTCAAGTGATCTACCCACCTTAGTCTCCCAAAGTGCTGGGATTACAGATGTGAGCCACCATACCCAGCCTGTATCTTTTAGCCACTATATTAAAAAAAATTGACAGCTGTCTGCACAGAAACAAAACCTGAGGGGACTGGCCCACAATGTGTTACAGACATTACAGTATGATGTATAATAGTGGCTGTTCACAATGATGTCCTGAGCCAGTGAAATGACTAAATATTCAGACTGTTTAACCAGGCAAACATAATATATATAACTAAATATGTTCATTTAAAATTTTAAAATTTTGGTTCCTTGAAAAGGGTTATACTTTTGTTTCTGGAAAACTAATTCAGGAGGAACATTTCATTCCCTAGTGAAGCCGAACAAATGACACACAGTTGAAATGCCTTATTTCTGAAGTACTTAAGGTGTCCCCAAGCACCTTATATGACAAAGTGAAAGCAGAAAACTTCCGAGATTGATAGTTAAGAACTACAGTGTGTGCATGTATTTATGTGTGTGTGTGTGTGTTCATTCTCCAGAGCATCATTAAATGAGAATCAAAATTCCAGACAACTCTCAATTGTATCACTCAATGCAGCCACTACTGAAGAGTTAAAGGTGGGCATCATTGGAGGAGGCCACCTTGGGAAGCAGCTGGCTCACACACTGTTGCAGCTCGTCCCCATCCCTGCTGAATGTCTGCGGATCTCCACTCGGAGGCCAGAGACTCTGGGTGAGGAGCAGTGTGTGGTAGAAAGGGGGCTTGGTTGTGCTGTGTAGGTGTGTAGGTGTCAACAAAGCCGTTCTGAAAGGGTCCTCCGAAGAGGAGTCCTTGCATACAGCATGCGGAGTTCTCAGCTTGCTAGCCCTAAGCAAGGTTAGAAGCATGGTTTCCCCTCTTGTTCTTTAAAGCAACTTTTCTCTCCATGTGTATGTTTTATCCATCTCTTTTCCCTGTGCCCTTGGTGGTGAATTATCTTTCTGGGTCTTTGATACAGGGAAGCTTTCCATACAGAGTTCAGATCTTCTATCTGAATCAGTTAGGGTCTGGCTAAGGTGTTGTGCAGTCCCAGGCATTTGCAGTTAGCCTTACATTTTTTAAAATGACATTTACTGAACTTTAAAAAATGTTTTGTGGCCAGGTGCGGTGGTTCATGCTTGTAATCCCAGCACTTTGGGAGGCTGAGGCAGGTGGATTACGAGACCATCCCGACCAGCATGTTAAACACTGTCTATATTAAAAATACAAAAGTTAGGCTGGGCATGGTGGTTTCTGTCTGTAATCCCAGCACTTTGGGAGGCCGAGGCAGGTGGATCACCTGAGGTCAGGAGTTTGAGACCAGCCTGACCAACACGGTGAAACCCCATCTCTCTAAAAAATAATAAATTAATTAATTTTAAAAAATACAAAAGTTAGCTGAGTGTGGTGGCATGTGCCTGTAGTCTCAGCTACTCAGGAGACTGATACAGAATTGCTTGAACCCAGGAGGCAGAGGTTGCAGTGAGCCAAGATCATGCCACTACACTGCAGCCTGGTGACAGCGAGATTCTGCCTACAAAAAAACCCAAAAAAAAAACAAAAACAAAATTTGTAATGATTTCATTTATGTTGATAGAAATCAGAACAATGATTTCTTCTGGGGAGATGGACTGAGAAAGTCCCAAAGGAAATTTTTCTGGGAAGATGGAAATGTTCTGTATCTTAAGAGAGGTATGGGTTTAAATGGGTATATGCTTTTGTCAAAACTGATCAAACTATACACTTCATATCTGTGTGTTGCATTATATGTAAATTATACTTCAATAATAAAAATATATAAAATGATATAATGCATATTATAGAAAATTTCTCTATAAGGAAGGATATAACTACCTAAAACCTACTCCGGTTATCATTCCTTCCTGTTTTTTTTTCTCTAAATTATACCAATAATTAATACTGTATATAGTTGTTTATATGCTGCTCACTGCAATATCCAGCTCCTGGGTTCAAGTGACTCTCCTGCCTCAGCCTCCTGAGTAGCTGGGATTACAGGCACGTGCCACCACACCCAGCTAATTTTTGTATTTTTTTAAGTAGAGACGGGGTTTCTATGTTGGCCATGTTGGCCAGGATGGTCTGGATCTCCTGACCTTGGGATCTGCCTCCCTTGGCCTCCCAAAGTGCTGGGATTACAGGTGTGAGACACCGCACCCAGTCTGTATTCTGCTTTTTTTACATAATGTATCATGAGCATATTCTCATATCGTTTAACATTTTTTGAAATAATGATTTACCCACATCTGTAATCCCAGCACTTTGGGAGGCCATGGTGGGCAGATCACCTGAAGTCAGGAGTTTGAGACCAGCCTAGCCAACATGATGAAACATGGTTTCTACTAAAAATACAAAAATTAACCAGCTGTTGTGGTGAGCACCTGTAGTACCAGCTACTCAGAAGGCGGAGGCAGGAGAATCACTTGAACCCAGGAGGTAGAGGTTGCAGTGAGCCAAGATTATACCACTGCACTTCAGCCTGGGCAACAGAGCAAAACTCCATCTAAATAAATAAGTAAATAGATAAATAAGAAATAATTATTTTACGCCCCTCCAGTTTCCCACAAGTAGAAGGTTACCCAGCAGACTCTGAGCACACTCCTTTGCATCTCCCTAGCAGGGTGTGCTTGCTGTACCCGGTGTTAGGATGCACAGACTTTGTAGTTGTTCCCAGTGGTGGCTAAGATACCCTACACCATTCTTCTTTTTTCATCTCTGGATTTAAAATTATATTAGTAAGAGATTAATTTTAATGTAAAAAAAGATTTTAAGGTTGTATAGTATCCCAAAGTATGGATGTGCCATAATTTATATAACTGTGCCTTATTTAGATGAACTTCCTTATACATAATTTTGAAATAAAGTTATTAGGTCAAAGAATTGGTACAGCTTTATTAAAAAAAAACATTTTTTTTCAGATGGAGTTTTGCTCTGTCTCCCAGGCTAGAGTGCAATGGAGTGATCTTGGCTCAATGTACCCTCTGCCTCCCAGTTCAAGTGACTCTCTCGCCTCAGCCTCCCAAGTAGCTGGGATTACAGGTGCACACCATGATGCCCAGCTAATGTTCTTGTACTTTTTTTTATTTTTTATTTATTTATTTTTTAATATTATTATTATTTTTTTTGGAAGAGAGGAAAGGAGGAAGGGAGGGATGAAGGAAGGGAGGAGGGGAGGGAGGGAGAGAAGGGAAGGAAGGAAATCAGGCAATGAGAGAGACATTGCCAACCTGGATCTAGAGGTCTGCAAGTTGATTTTTTTTTTCTTTTTTTGAGAGAAGGAAAGAAAAAAAAGGAGTGAAGGAGAGGAAGAAAGAGGAAGAAAAAGAGGGAGAGAGAACGGAAATGTTGCTTTATTCTAAAAAAAATGGGTATTAATAATGGCCAATCAATATTTCATTTAAACCTATGAGTAGGTGTGATGTGGTATTGACAAGAATGTATATTTTGTGTATTTAAAGTGGAGAGCTCTATAAATATTTATTAAGTTTACTTGCTCCAGATCTGAGTTTGAGTCCTTGATATCCTTATTAATTTTCTGTCTCATTGAGTCTAAGTCTCTATGTATCTGGGTGTTAGGATCGTTAGCTCTTGTTGTTGCATTGATCCTTTTACCACTATATCTTTGTTGCTTTCAAATCTATTTTATCAGATGCAAGAATTGCAACTCCTGCTTTTTATTTATTTATTTTTGCTCTCCATTTCGTTGGCAAATCTTTCTCCATCCCTTTGTTTTGAGTCTTTGTGTATCCTTGCCTGTGAAATGGGTCTGGATGTAACATGCCATTGGGCTTCGGCTGTATCTTTGATTGGGGGATTTAGTCAATTTAAATTTAGGATTACTGCCATTTGATGTTAACTGGCTGTTTTATCCATTCGTTGATGTAAATTCTTGTTTATGTTGATGCTCTTTACTTTTTGGTATATTTTTAGAAAGGCTAATACTGGTTGTTTCTTTCTATGTGTAATGCTTCTTTCAGAAGCTCTTGTAAAGCAGGCCTGGTGGTAATAAAATCTGAGTACTTGCTTGTTTATAAAAGATTTTATTTTTCCTTCAGTTGTGAAGCTTAGTTTGGTTGGATATGAAATTCTGGGCTGAAAGTTCTGTTCTTTAAGGATGTTGAATATTGGCCCCCACTCTCTTCTGGCTTGTAGAGTTTCTGCTGAGAGATCTGCTGTAAGTCTAATAGGCTTCCCTTTGTGGGTAACCTGACCTTTCTCTCTGGCTGCCCTTAGTATTTTCTCCTTCATTTCAACCCTGGTGACTCTAATGATTATGTGCCTTGGGGTTGCTCTTCTTGAGGAATATCACTGTGGTGTTCTCTGTATTACCTGGGGTTGAATATTGTCCTGCTTTGCTAGTTTAAGAAAATTTTCCTGAATAATATCCTGAAGAATATTTTCCAGCTTGGATTCATTCTCTCCATCGCATTCAGGTACACCTATCAAACGTAAATTTGGTCTTTTCACATAGTCCCACATTTCTTGGAGACTTTGCTCATTCCTTTTTATCCTTTTTTCTCTAATCTTGTCTTCTCGTTTTATTTCATTAAGTTGGACTTTGACCTCTGATATCCTTTCTTCTGCTTGAACAATTCGAGTGTTTAAACCTGTGCGTACATCTCAGAGTTGCTGTATTGTATTCTTCAGTTCCATTAATTCACTTATATTCCTCTCTAAGTTGTCTATTCTCATTAGGATTTCGTCAAACCTTTTTTCAAAGTTCTTGGTTTCTTTACATTGGGTTACAACATGTTCTTTTAACTCACAGAAGTTTCTTATTATCCATCTTCTGAAGCCTGATTCTGTTAATAGGATGCACTCGTTCTCCATCAAGTCTTGTTCCCTTGTTGATGAGGAACTGTGATCCTCTTTAGAGGGAGAGGCATTCTGATTTTGAGTATTCTCAGCCTTTTTATGCTGGTTTCTTCCCATCATTGTAAATTTATCCACCTGTCGTCTTTATAATTACCAACTTTCAAATTAGGTCTCTGAGTGGACGTCCAAGTTATTAATTCCCAGGGCCGAAATATGAGCAACCCACTGCGCCGGCCAAAACAGCGGCGTTAAGACTGATGGTGCTTTTCTGCCCGGGAATCTCCAGTCTGGCTTCCTTCTTGAGTCTGTAATAGGCGACTCTGCCTTCCCGGAGCTCCAAACCTCAGTCAGAAGGGGAACCAGTCCCGTTTACTCTGCACCAAGAGCTGCTGCGCCAAGGTGCCCGCACAACCACTGCGCCAGCCACAAGAGTCGCGCTGGCGACCCGTGTGGCTCCTCCAAACCTTGGTCAGAAGGGGAACCAGTCCCGTTTACTCTGCACCGAGAACTGCCGTGCCAAGGTGCCGGCGAAACCACTGCACCAGCCACAAGAGTCACGCTGGCGACCCGTGCAGCTCCTCCACTGGGAATCTTCTGCTCTGTGAGCAACCAAAATTTGTCTGAAAGTGTGGCATCCTCTCATTCTCTGCACTTTCACTGGGAGCTGCAATCCTGAGATGTTAGTGATCAGCCATCTTGGATCGTTCTCATGTTTTGTATTTTTAGCAGAGATGGGGTTTCACCATGTTGGCCAGCCTGGTCTTGAACTCCTACCCTCAAGTGATCTGCCTGCCTCAGCCTCCCAAAGGGCTGGGATTATAGGTGTGAGCCACAGAGCCTGGCCCTAAAATATTATTTCTGTACAATAAATGGCACACAGTTAAAAGTGTACAGTTTGATGTTTTGACAGGAATACACATGTGAAATCATCACAAGATAATGAACGTATCCCATAACCCCCAAAAGTTGCCCCTTTGTCCTTGGTAATTCCTTTTTCTCTACTTTCCTGAAGCTCGCCACCCATGAAACCAACAATCTGATTTCTGTCATTATGGAGTAGTTTGCATTTTCTAGAATTTTATATAAATGGAATCATAGAGTTTGTAGTGGTTTTTTAGTTTAACTTCTTTCACACTGCATAATTTGTTTGAAATATAGCCACTTTTTTTTTTTTTTTTGAGATGGAGTCTCACTCTTGTCGCTCAGGCTGGAGTGCAATGGCATGATCTTGGCTCACTGCAACCTCCACCTCCCAGGTTCAAGCAATTTTCCTGCCTCAGCCTCCACAGTGACTGAGATTACAGATGCCTGCCACCATGCCCAGCTAATTTTTTGTATTTTTGATAGAGACGGAGTTTCATCATGTTGGCCAGGCTGGTCTTGAACTCCTGACCCAAAGTACTGGGATTACAGGTGTCAGCCACCATGCCCAGCCAAAATATTTCCAAGTTTTTTTTGATGTGTCAATATCCTTTTTATTTCTGAGTAATATTTCCTTGCATGATTATTCCACAATTTATTTATCTGGTTGACCCAGGTTGTTTCCATTTTCTCCAGTTTCTGGCTATTACAAATAAAGCTGCTATGAATACCTGTATATACGTGTTCATGTGGGCAACTACTTTTATTTTTCTTGGGTAAATAATTGGCAGTGAAATGGCTGGTCATGTGGTAGGTATATCTTTAATATTTAAAGAAACCTCTAATGTATTTTTTCAAATTGACCTCCTAAAAGGTTTTCAGATATAAAGTTTTACCAACATTGCATAAGAACACCCATTTTGGCCAGGCACGGTGGCTCATGCCTGTAATCCCAGCACTTTGGGAGGCCAAGGTGGGGACGGGGGGGAATCACCTGCGGTCAGGAGTTTGAGAGCAGCCTGGCCAACATGGAGAAACCCTGTCTCTACTAAAAATACAAAAATTAGCGGGGTGTGGTGGTGGGTACCTGTAATCCCAGCTACCTGGGAGGCTGAGGCAGGAGAATCGCTTCAACCTGGGAGGCAGAGTTTAGTGAGCTGAGATTACACCATTGTACCACAGCCTGGGTGTCAGAGTGAGACTGTCTCAAAAAAAAAAAAAAAATGAATTATATTTCAAGTACTACTGCTGCTTTAGTAATAGAGTTAAGGCATTGCTGCATAGCTTTCAGAAGGAAGGAATATCTTCTGATTTATGGAGCAGCAAGACGGGTTGATTTACTGAGCTAAAATGATCATCCTCTCCCCATAGTTGATGTTCAGGTCAAACTCCTTAGTACCGTGCTCTTTCTTTGTCCCTCCCAGGTGAGCTCCAGAAGCTGAAAATCAAGTGCTTTTACCAAAATGCTAATCTGGTGAGTTGGGCCGACGTGATATTCCTCTGCTGCTTGCCATCTCAGCTGCCTAGTATCTGCTTAGAAATTCAAACCAGCCTTTCAAAGACCAGCATTGTGTACAGCTTTGTAGCTGCCATCCCACTACCCAGGTATCTTGTTAGGGTGAGAACGGAACTGGCACAACTACTCTGTCTCTCCATCTCTGACTTCTGCCTCCCACCTCCACTGTAGCCCCTACCTCTTAGAGTTGGTCATTTCCAGTAATAAGGAGGAAGGAGCTTCATCTGTAGAAGAACATAGCCTATCTTTCTAATTGTAACTTCCCTACTTACCCACAAATAGTACCCACAAACCATTTTTATTGCTGTACAAAGGTTAAGGTTTAAAATTGCAATAGAACATTTATTTCCATTATTTGAACAATGAAGTATTCTCCTTGTGTATCAATGAGAAGGGAAACCATCAGTCCATAACATGAAAAGTTATTGAAAGTGTGTGTCAAATATTATTTCTGCACATCTAGTTTCTAGCCCAGTGCCTGGCACATGATAACATTCAGTAATTAAGGATTTGTTAGGTGGATCAGCAATCCAACTGATAAGTGAAAAATCCAACTGATCAGTACAGACCCAGACCCGCATTTGTCTCTGAGTTGTGCGGGGGTCTGTTGATGGGGTTGGATATAAACACAGTAGGTTATGTGGTCATTTATTCCAGTCCTGGCATTGCACTCCCTGTCTTGGCTTTACTTCCAGGTTGAAACTACTGCTGAGCCACACCAATATCTTGCGGCCTCAGTATCGGTTTGGGGAAGATTCTGTCAACATCTGGGGGGCCAATAAGGAAATCGTCGCTGCTCTCCAAGATCCTACCATTCTTCAAGCTACCTGTCCATACAGTCCTGCTGGTCATGGCTCAACATATTTCTGGCATTCTTTTGAAATTCTTTCCTCTTGGCCCATTGCTGCTATCTTATTAAATCTCTGTGTGTATGTGTGTCACAAGGTACTGCAGGAGGGCTACTTAGGAAGAGCTGAGAAGCCTGATTATTTTGACTTCTTAAGGACAAACTAAAAATCAAAAGAGGAGATAGCTTATTTCAGCAGGAGGATGTAATATTGGACTAAAATGACTTTTCCCTGTTCTAATCTTGCATTTTCCCCCAGTTCCTTCTCCTTATTAGCAACGACTATTCTAGAGACACCTTTGCCACTAGCAATGTCTATATTAGTCATATCTGTCCTCCTCTGGGATGCTTAACACATGATGTGTTGTGAAGGGCATAAGTAGGGCTTGTGGCTCGGGAAGGAGTGTCTGCTTATCTTGTGGTTCATATTACCAACCTGTCTGGGAATAAAGGTGGCTATTTGATTAGCAGCAACCTCTAAAAAAAAAAGAGAGAGAAAGAAAAAAAAACAAAAAAGGTGGCTATTCACTGTCAGGAGTTTATTCTAGGTTCTCTGCAACTCATTTTTGTGGTGCTAACTGGTATTTACCTTCTCATTGGTGTGTAGGGGGAATAATCCTCAATATCAAGTGGTTGGAGGGAGTGTTCTATGCAGTCCTAAACATATGCACGGCAAGAAACATGGCCCACTCCCAAGTGCTGCAGCTTCTGAGTGACCTCTTTCTCTCCATGCACTTTGAAGACTGTGGGAAAGACGCAGCATCTTGCCCAAAGTTTCAGTTAACAGATTTTGTCAGCAAAGCCTATGGCAAGAACTTGTCTCAGGAAAGGTAAGGGCACCAGACAGCTGGCCGTTCTCATTTCTCCCAGACTCTTCTCTTAGTTAATGCTTTCTCCTTTTTCTTTTATCCTTGCATGTTCTCTTTAAACGCTGATAAAAATCATACATTTTTGTGAAGAATTTTGACTAGTGGAAAAGTAAATGTCCTCCTTTCCCTTCCAAATTCCATTTTGTAGAGTTTAACAGTTTTTCTATTCTCATCTATGCATTTATAAACATTTATATTGTCATTATATTATCATGTATATGGATATCTATTCCTATATGTACAGTGTTAGAAACATGGGAATTATGTATTTTGCTTTTTTACTTACTGTATCACAGCCTCTATTCTATGTGAGTACAATCATAGCTACCTCATTTATGAGCAGCTACTACGTGTCCACTGGACACATTTATTTCATTACATTTATTCACAGTGTCTCCGATAGAGATGTAATTCCTCCCCCCACCCCCAATTTTGCATTACGGGCTGCTTTGAACATTCTTTTTTTTTGAGACAGTCTTGCTTTATTGCCCAGGCTGGAGTGCAGTGGCATGATTTTGGCTCACTGCAATCTCTGCTTCCCGGGTTCAAGTGATTCTCCTGCCTCAGCCTCCTGAATAGCTGTGATTATAGGCACCCACCACTACGCCTAGCTAATTTTTTGTATTTTTTAGTACAGACAGAGTTTCACTATGTTGGCCAGGCTGGTCTCCAACTTCTGATCTTGTGATTCACCTGTCTTGGCCTCCCAAAGTACTGGGATTACAGGTGTGAACCACCATGCCCTAATTTTTGTATTTTTAGTAGAGACAGGGTTTTGCCATGTAGGCCTGGCTAGTCTCTTAACACCTGATCTCAAATGATCTGCCCACATTGGCCTCCGAAAGTGCTGAGACTATAGGTGTGAGCCACTGCACCCGGCCTGCTTTGAACATTCTTGTACTTTGTGTACTTGTACCAGTATTTCAGTGGGATATGTGAAAGAATCTCTGGGTCAAAGGTATACATATTTTATATTTGATAGGAGTTCCCAAATTGCTTATAAAAACTGTGGTACTTTTTACATTTCTACAAACAACATATGAGAGTGCCACTTCTCTATTATCTGATAACTACCAAATAAGTACTTTTGATCTTTGATAATCTAATATGCAAAATTATTGCTCTTGTTACTAGTTACTTCCATGTCGCTAGATCCACTGGACGCTTTAAACTCTTTTTCTTCCTTAATTATTGAACATGCTGTCTTTTATGAAGCAGTGTCTTCTTCTAGGCTGTCCTGATCCCTCCCATTCTCCTCATTTTCTTCCTGGCTCCCTGGCCCCTCCTTTGCTAGTTCCGCCTCTGCCTCACCCTTAAGTTTTCAGGGCTCTATCCTACACCCTTTTCTTTTCATCCTATACTTCTTTTCATTCTCCACTTTCTCCCTGGTGATCTTTTCCACTTTGGGGACTTAGGTTGCCATATTTACACTGACAGCATGTAACTCTATATTTCTAGCCTAAATGTCTTTTTTATTTTTTATATATTTTTTAGCCTAAATGTCAATGCTGTGCTTAGGTAAGTGTGTACTCATTATCTTCACTCAAACTTATGATGTCCGCAAGCATACCTGCTCTTTTCCCTGCTCTTCTGATGTTTCTTACCTAATTACATGCTCCTTCACCAAGTTGTTCATGTCAGAACCCTGGAAGTAATCCTAGATTCTTCTTCCTCTCCTATCTGTTGATTCTAATCAATCATCAATGGACAGTTTATTCTCTGTGCCTGTGATACACTTTTGCTGTGGAGATTTTTCTTCTTCATTATCCTGGGGATTCCTCTCACTTTTCTGTTGTATTAGACCTCTTGTTTCCTGGGTCCCTCTTCCTCTGCCATGAATTACTTCTTAATTTTGGGGAAACATGTCCTGCAGTACCTTTCTGAGAAAAGGGTATATTGAAATAATTTTCAGAGACTCTTTGTCTGAGATGTTTTTATTCTAACCTACCATTTTATTGAGAACATAACCAGGTATAGAATTGTAGGTTGGAGATAATTTTCCATTAGAATTTTGAGGCATTGCATCTACAACCACCCCACCTTGAACGTGCCTGATCTCATCTGAACTTGGAAGCTAAGCAGGGTCGGGCCTGGTTACTACTTGGATGGGGGAATTGTGAGGCATTGCTTCATTGTCTTTCAGCTTCTAGAGTTGCTACTGAGAGTTATGGTGCCTTTCTAGTTCTTAATCCTTTATCTGAAACCTGTTTCTTTCCTTTCTGGAAGCTTATGGGATCTTTTGACCTCAGTAATCTTGAGATTTTATGATGTGCCATGATGTAGGTCTATTTTAATTCAATGTTGAGCACTTGGTGAGCCTTTTTTTTTCCCATTAGCTTTTTTGTTTTTATTTTTATTTTTATTTTTTTGAGACATGGTCTTACTCTGTTGCCCAGGCTGGACTGCAATTCTACCTCCTGGGCTCAAGTTATACTCCCACCTCAGCCTCCCAAGTAGCTGAGACTACAGGCACATGCCACCACACCCAGCTAATTTTTGTATTTTTAGTGGTAAATCTATGAAGTGATATTTTTGTATTTTTAGTGGTTAATCTAACAAGTGATATAGTGTCTAGGATTGCCTTCAAAAATAATCCAATAGATGGAGGTAAAGGAATAGGGGTGGGGTTTTGGTTGAGACAAGATTAGCTATAAATCAGTAATTGTTAAATCTGGGTGATAGGCACATGGAGGTCCATTATATTATTCTATTTTTCATTATATTCTTTTTTACTATTCTATGTTTCACTGTATTTTTGATTATTTTAAAATTTCCACAATAAAAAAAAGTTTCCTTCTATTAGTTTGTCAGCCCTAATTTACTCATCATAATTTTGCTGTTATCAAATTTTAAGAAAATCTATTTCAAATTTTATCAGTTTCCCTCTTAAGCATTTAATAAGATTTTTGTTTCTCTTTTCCTTTAAGATTGTAATATTTAATTAATGTTGTAAACTACATAGGTTTTCCTGTCAAATTTTCCTTGTATTCCTTTTTTTTTTCTTTTTTTTTGGGGTGGGGGGAGATGGAGTTTTGCTCTTGTTGCCCAAGCTGGAGTGCAATGGCATGATCATGGCTCATTGCAACCTCCACCTCCCAGGTTCAAGCAATTCTCCTGCTTCAGCCTCCCCAGTAGCTGGGATAACAGGCTTGGGCCACCACGCCCAGCTAATTTTTTGGAGTTTTAGTAGAAATGGGTTTCACCATGTCGCCAGTCTGGTCTCGAACTCCTGATCTCAGGTGATCCACCTGCCTTGGCCTCCCAAAGTGCTAGGATTACAGGTGTGAGCCATGGTGCCCAGCCCCTTGTATTCTTAAGATAAATTTTATTTAATATACTTCCAGATCTGTTTTCCGTGAATGGTATTTAAGATATCTATATTCAAAAGTGAAATTGGTCTATAGTTTTCAAATTTGGTGTCAAAGTTGTGTTAACCTCATAGCAGTAGGAAGCCTTTGACGTTATATTAAGTGGGCTTGCCCACTTAATTTGAAAGGCAAGCATTGATCTCTTGGGCTGATTGTGATTCTCCAGAAACAGTGGAAAACAAGTGAGGAGAGAATAGCAGGTCCAGGTTACATTTCTTTGGAGGTCTTGAGTAATCTTGAGTTCTGCTCTGCAATCTGGCACCATGATGGTTTTGTATCTTCTTTCCTCTGTTCCATATTTTCCTAGCATAGCTGCTAAATTCAGTGTACACAGAATTATTCCATGGGGTCTGCCCATTCTTGAGTTCTCAAGATCTTGATGAAATGGGGAAATTCGCCCTGGCAAATTCAAAATCTATTACAAACTCATGTATGGCTTATATATATGCTTTATTTCTTTGTTATTGTTAAGATTTTACAAACTTTATTTACATTCTGACAACCAGGTATGAGTATAGTCACCTGATCTAAGATTAGCCATCCAGGCTCTCCTGCTGGGACACTGAATAATTCAAAGACAGCCAAATGGAAGAGATGTATAGGACAAAGTATGGGGGTAGGGAGGGGGTGCGAGGCACTGCCATGCCCTTTCTGCATGTGCTACCCTCCTAGTATCTCCATGTGTTCACCAACCCAGAAACTTCTAGACAGAACTTAACTGTGGATCCATTTGGTCCAAATATCTTGGGAGGTGGGGAGGTTGCAATTTGACTATCTTTTTAATTTTTCTAGTTTATGATGTACTGGTTTATGATTTCTAGTTTATACTTGTTGATGATATAGTTTATTACTTCTTGAGTCAATTTGGTAATTCATATTTTCTTTTTTTTTTTTGAGATGGAGTCTTGCTCTGTTGCTCAGGCTGGAGTGCAGTGGCGTGATTTCGGCTCACTCCATCCTCTGCCTCCAGGGTTCAAGTGATTCTCCTGCCTCAGCCTCCCAAAGTGCTGGGATTACAGGTGTAAGCCACCACACCTGGCTGGTAATTCATATTTTCCTAGATAAAAATAGTTTATTTTTATGTGGATTTTAAGTTTGTTGGCATAAAGCTGTACTTTTATATTTTGTTTAAAAATAATCTCATCATATTTTATGTCATTTTGCATTTCTAAGATTATGTATGTGTTTTAAACTTTTTCCTTGGCCAGGCACGGTGGCTCACGTCTGTAATCCCAGCACTTTGGGAGGACGAGGCAGGTAGATTGCTTGAGGTCAGGAGTTCGAGACCAGCCTGGCCAACATGGTAAAACCCCATCTCTATTAAAAAAAAAAAAAGCAAATAAAAAATAAACTTTTTCCTTGGTTCAGTTTGTTAGAAGCTTATTTTAATGATCTTTTAAAATAACTAGGTCATGGTTTTAGTAATTCTATTGAGCTATTCTTTTTTATTTCAAGCGTTTTCATTTTTGTCTTTAATAATTAATTCCTTCTTTCTTTTGCTTTATTTTGTGGCTATTTTTCTTAGATTCTTGAATATTTGTGGCTTGTTTGATTTTAATTATAATAAAATACAATTATTTATTTATTTTACAA